GCTGGCTGACCTCCGGAACAGGCCCTCGGTGCGGAGTCCTGCAGGGAGAAGAGCCTCCAGGCATCTCACGGGTCCTAGCACACTGGGCTTCCAGAAGATTCTATCACTCCCCCTGCCCACAGCTCAGCCCTTCTATGCAGGAGGGAATGCTGTCCTGCCCCCATCCCCCACCTTCACCCCTCAGCTCTCCATATCCCCAGCCCACCTGATCCCCAGAAAGGGACTCTGCCTCTGACCAGCTGTGTGACCTCGGAGAAAGTACTCAGCCTCTCTGAACCAAGCTGCCTTGTCTGTCTACAGAATAAGGCCACGGGCTCCTGTCTCCAAGGGCTGCAGAGAGGACAGGACAGTGATGCCCAGTGCCTGGCACCCAGGAGGCTGCCAGACACACTGCTTCCCTCAAGAACCTAGGGCTGCGCCGTCCAGCACGGTAGCCACTAGCTGCACGTGGGATTTACATTTAAATGTAATTAAAATTAAATAAAATGAAAATTCCATCCACTCAGTCACACAGGCCACATAGGAAGTGCCCTACTGGGCTGTTGCCACGGGGGTAGCAGCTACCATTTTGGACAGGGCAGAGAGAGAAGAGTCCCAGTTCTGCCGACACCGCTGCTAGAGCTGATTACATCAAAGCAGCAAGCTTGCCTCCGCCCTCAGCCTACAGAGGGTTTTCAGCACTCGCAACCGGCTCATGAAAGCAGCGACTCACGTTTCTTTAAGCCGGGGGGTTGGGGAGTTTGTACTTGCCCCCCAACGATGGCTGACACCGCTCCATCCTCCAGGGCTCAGTTCAGCCGTCACTTCAGGGAAGCCCCCGACACGGCCAACCCCCTAAGGCAGACCCCAGTTCTACCACGGACTCAGACCGTGGGCCCTGGGGAAGAAGCCACAGGGAAAGGCGCCCAGGCTGGGGAGGGCCCGCGGGGCCAGGCAAAGCCCTGGTGGGGACGGGGCAGGAAAGGAGGAGCTTCCACCGCAGCAAGACTTCCGGAGGCCCGGCCTTGACACGTGGACAGAAGAAAAGGCGATAGCGCGGGGTCTACTAGAGGACACTCCAAGTCTGTGTTTTTCTCTCTCCCCAGAGCCTGCACTTGGGGGTCTTGACACAGACCTGGTCACTGACAGGCTCGGTGGCGGAGCAGCTGCGTCCCGCAGGGTGAATAGACGATTCTGTCTCTTAAACAGCTTCCCAGCGTGCCCACTCTCTGCACCTAAACTGCCACTACCCTATCCAAGCCACCGTCATCTCTCCAGGTCCCCAGACCCCTTTCACCCACCCCCCAATCTCCTCCTTTCTAAAGCTGAGTGAGCTCCAGGTCCGACCAGCCACACCTCTGCATTGAGCCCTCCAGTGGCTGCCACCTGTCACAGGCGAGAGCTTCCCATGGTTGTCGTCACAGCCCTGTGCCGTCTGGCCACTGCCTCACTCCTGCCCGCTGCTACTGTCCCCATGTCCGCCCGGGCCCAGGCCTGGCCTGTGCTGCTCCCTGTGCCTGGCTGGCTGACCCTTCTCTTCTTTGTCGAGTGACCATCATAAGCAGAATTCTGAGATGGCCCCCCAGATCCCCGGCCCCTGGGAGCCAGGGGGACATACCTGGAGTCTCCCAGATACGCAGACACTAATCTAGGTGCTGCAGTGAAGTGGCTTTGCACACGCGATTCAGGTCTAAGCCAGCTGACCTTAAGATACAGAGATCTTGGGTGGGCCTGACCTGATCAGGCGAGTTTTCGAAGGGCCCAGATTCTTCCAGGGGACAGAGATTTGCAGCACAGGGCAGGGGGTCATGGGAGCCCTGCTCTGTTGGTGGCCGCGGGTTCGGGGGGACATGGCCTCTGGCTGCTGACCGAGGGCCCTGGCTGATAGCCCTGGAGGAAGCGGGGCTACAGCAGCAAAGCATGGGACCGGCCAGGAATCAGAACGAGCCTCGCCGTGGATTCTCCCCTGGAACCTCCAGAGGGAACCCGCCTGGCCAGCACCTTGAGTTCTGCCCACGAGACCCTGAGCAGAGAACCCAGCCCTGGTGTGCCAGGCTTCTGACCTGCAGAAACGGAGAGAATAAATCCACCTTGTGGCCGGGCGCAGTGGCTCACGCCTGTAATCCTAGCACTCTGGGAGGCCGAGGCGGGTGGATCGCTCAAGGTCAGGAGTTCGAGACCAGCCTGAGCAAGAACGAGACCCCGTCTCTACTAAAAATAGAAAGAAATGATCAGGACAACTAAAAAAGAAAAAAAAAAAAATATATATATATATATATAAATTAGCTGGGCATGGTGGCGCATGCCTATAGTCCTAGCTACTCGGGAGGCTGAGGCAGAAGGATCGCTTGAGCCCAGGAGTCTGAGGTTGCTGTGAGCTAGGCTGACACCACGGCACTCTAGCCCGGGCAACACAGCGAGACTCTGTCTCAAAATAAATAAATAAATCCACCTTGTTTAAGCTGCTAAATTTGTGCTAATTTGTTATGTGGCCAAGGAAATGGATACGGTGACCTCCCACCCGAGGGTCAGAGCTTGGGTCTCCCTGGCGTCTGTGACCAGCTTCTCTCTGGCCGCGTGAGATGTGTTGTCACGGTTATAGCTTCACGGAGAACATGATGGGGAAAATCTCTTGGTACCAGAGCGTGAGAGCCCAGAAGGCAGGGACTGGGCCTCGGCCAGGGCTGGGTGCCAGGGTGTGTGGCCAGTGAATAAATGTCTAGTTCATGTATTCACTCAACAAACACATACTGAGTTCCTACTCTGGGCTGGTTTGTTTTTAACGATAAACAAATTGTGTCCAGAGAGAGAGACTCCCTCTCACAGTGTCTGGTTTTCAGTCTTGAGGCACCACCTGAAATACACACAGAATGGGAAACCTGCCAATGGTGGCCGGTCACAGTGGAGACGGCTCCAAACAACAATCACAGACCCCCGGCCGGAGGGAACGTTTTATGATCAGAACACGCCACCCCTGGCGCACGCGGGTATCGCCCACAGCGCCCCGCGGCAGCAGTTCTCACTTCTCATCTGACGCCCACCCGTCCACTCTGCAGCGTCCTGGCTGGAGACCACCGGCCCTGCCAGGGCGCCTGCACCTGCAGGGACAGGCCAGCCCTCCCTGGTCCCCGCTCCTCCCGGGGAACCACTTCCTCCCATTAGAGTAAAAGCAGCCTCCACGCACCTTCTCTGTGGCCCTGAGTTCTGACCTCAGGAACCTCGGAGAGGCCACAAAGCTCGCCTCTCTCCGAGTCCCTGACCTCACCCACCCCACTGGCGACGGCGCCTGCAAACCAAAGTCCATCGAGCCAGCGGAGCTGCCATGGAGGATGCTGCCTACAGACCAGCGCTGTCTGAAGTGCTTTGCACGCATTGCCTCGTTTAGGCCTCGCAACCACCCTGTGGGTCAAGTGCTATTATTAACCCCACTGGATAGGTGAGGGAAGCAGGCCCAGAGAGGGCAGGAACTGGCCCAAGGTCACACAGCTAGCACATGGGGAAGCCAGGATTCAAACCCAGACCATCTGAGGCCAGAGCCCACACCTAGAGCCACAGGGCCCACGCCCCCTCCCTTCCTGGTCACACCCCCTGGATGGGTTTCAGCTCCTCCAAGTCCCTGGCCTGCGGGGGCACTCAGGATCCACCACAGACCTCCCAGGGAGGGACACCCAGCAGCCCTAAGGTCCCTTGGCTGGAGCCAGCTCGCTCTTACCTTTCTCTCTCAGGTATGTCACCGTGGACCTCAGCACAGGGGGGATGAGTTCGCCGTGATTTTTGTCTCTGAGGCTGAGGGGAGAGAAAGCAAGCAAGTTTTTACCTGGGCGTGCTGAGCACAAGCACAGGCTCTGGCCCTCCCCATGCCCTGTGAAAACACAGGACCAGGGAGCTGTCCCGGGAGAGAGAGACGCAGCCTCGGCCCTCAGGAAGTAGGAAGTCTGGTGGCCAAAAGAGAGGCCAGAATAATAAATGATAGTGTAGTATTTGAGAACTCCATCAGAGGGATACAGGGAAGACCAGGGGGTTGGGGAGGCTTCTCTAGAGGGGAACTTCAGAGCTGGGTTTTGAGGGATGAGTAGGAGCCTGCCAGAGGACAAAAGAGAGAAGGGCATTCCAAACAGGGAAACACATGGGGGAAGGTTTTGGCTGTGCGAGCAGAACCAGCAGCTCTGGGCTGCATGCTGACTCAGTTAGAAAACATACTCGTAAAAACCCAGTACGGTACCTCGGACAGGTTAACACTCCGTCTCTCGTTGTGCTATTTTTAGATAGAAATTCAGATAAAGAAACTTCAGTTCCTACTTAACGTGTTTTTCTCTTTCCTCGTCTGCTGAGTTTTCTGTCCCTGCAACAGCACATTTGAGAGACCATGCTGGACAGGGCAAGTAGCTCTGAAGTCACACACACCTGGCTGAAGTCCTGCTCTGCCACTTTCTAGCTGAAAAGAATGTGAGTTTTGTTATTCTTAGGCAGTGTGTTCCTTAAATGTCAGTCCAGTTAATTTGGTTGTGTTATTCGGGTTTTCTAAAGACCACTGATTTTCTGTCTACTTGAAGTCTCCTGTTAAAACTGCATGTTTGTCTATTTCTCCTTTCAGTTCTACCACCTTTTTCTTCATGTATTTTAACTCTGTCACTAGTGCATAAATTTACAGGAGTATCGTGTCTTCTTTAACATTATGAAATGACTCTCGGTACCTGGTCTCATTCCTTGTTCTGAAGTCTACTTTGTCTGATACTAATACAGCCGCTCCAGTCTCCTTTTGGTTGGTGGCTGCATGGTATAGCTTTTTCTATTCTTTTACCTTATAGTATCTATTATGTTTTCATATTTTAAACATCAGTAATGTCTTCCTTTTTAAAATCCAATCTGAGAACCTCTGTCTTTTAATTGGAATGTTTAGGCCACTTAGATTTAATATAATTACCAATATGGCTAAGTTTAAGTCTACCATCTTGCTATTTGTTCTATGTTTCCTTTTTCTTCTTTTCTTGACTTTGTTTTGCTGGTTAATAGAGTATTTTTTAAATTCCATTTTATTCCCCTATTAATGTATTAAACGTATCTTTTTATTTGCGATGGCCCTAGTTTTACATTACACATGTTTAATGTAATATAGTCTACTTTAAAATATTATACTACTTTACCTATAGTATAAAAGCCTCACGACAGTATGTTTCCATTCCCCCATCCCATCCTTTGTGTTCTTAAATCATATACTATCCAATACTCCACCATGTTTTAAGCCTCATGCTACTTTATTATTTTTGCTTAAAAAGTCAACTTACTTTCAAAGGTATTCTTAAAATGAGAAAATAAATTTATTTTCTGTTTACTCATGTTTACCGTTTCCAGCCTTCTTCATTCCTTTGTGAGCTCCAACTTCCCATTTGGCATTATATCCCCTCGCTCTGTAGCGCTTCCCTTAACATTTCTCAGAGTGTAGGTGTGCCGAAAATAAATTCTCTCAGCTTTTGTTCATCTCAAAGTTTTTACTTGACATTCATTTTTGAAAAATTTTTGCCACGTATATAATTTTAGATTGAGAAATGTAGATATTTTTTCAGTAAAGAGATATTGTTCCAATAACAGGTAGTTTCCACCCTTCCAATAAGAAATCTTCTATAACTCTTATCTTTGTTCCTCTATATGTAGTACCTTTTTTCCTCTATTCTTAAAATTTTCTTTGTCACCGATAGTAAGAGATTTGGTTATGATGTGCCTTGGTATAGCTTTCTTCACATTCCTCATGCTAGTGGTTCATTAAGGTCATTGATCTGTGAGTTTGTTGTTTCCATCAAATTTAGAAAAATTTTGGCTATTATTTATTCAAATATTTGTCTGCCTTCTCCTCCTTTCTTGGGCTCCAACTATATAAGGCTATTTAATATTGTGCCACGGGTTAGTCTGTGTGTGTTTCATTGTGGACAATTTCTATGACTGTCTTCAGGTTGACTCATCTTTTCTTTTGTAACGCCTAATCTGCTGTTAATGCTATCCAATGTACTTTTCATTTTAAAAATTATACTTTTCATCTGTAGATGTTCCATTCGGATTCCTTTTAAAATATGTCTTCATCGTGTTCATATTTTCTTCAGGTTTCTTGAACACAAGGACCACATTTATAATTGCTATTTTAATGACCTTGTTTGCTAATCACATCATCCTGGTCATTTCTGGGTCTGTTTCTACTGATTGATTTTTCTCCTGGCTAGGATCACATTTTCCTGCTTCTGTGCATGCCTTCCAAGTTTTCTTTGGGAATTTTTTACATCGTTGGTTACTGGATTTTACTGTATTGCTTTGAACGAAGATGAACTTTGTTCTATCTTGCATTAAGTCATTCAGAAACAGGCATATTCCTTCAAGGATTGCTTTTACTTTTGTTAAGGAAAATCTGGAACAGTCTTTAGCCCAGGGCTAATTTAGCTCCACCGCTAAGGTGATGCCCTTCTCAGGACTCCATCCAATGCCCTGACTAGTAAGAAGTCTTTGTGCTCCAGATGGGGGAACCATTCGCAGCCCTGTGTGATCTCTGGATGACTTTCTGAGCTGCTATTTTCCAGGGCTTCTTTTCATTTCCTCTCCCACAGGAACCGTATAAACAGACCAGCACTCAGCCAGAGGCTCGAGGGGAACCTTCTGCAGACCTTGGAGTTCCCTCCTCTCTGGAACTCTGTCCCACAAGCGTTGGCCACCGTGGCCTCCTCCGACTCTGAACTTTATTTCTCAATTCTGCAAGACAGCCGGAGTCTGCGGGGTGGCTTCTCCCCCGCTCTGCAGCCTGGAGACTCGGCCGTGAGCTGGAGCGACTGCGGGGCTCACTCTGTTTCCTTCCCCTCGGGAGTCACAGTGCTCTGCTGTTGTCCAATGTCTGAAAAATCTTTGCTTCTCTGGTTGAAGGGAAAACAGCAAATCTGTTCCCTGTTACTCTACCAGGGCAAGAAGCAGAAGTCACTGATCTATTCTTGAAGGGTTTCTGGAGGTAGGCTCGTGGCTGGTCACCGTCCCTGCTACCTTCCAGCCTTCCTGGGTCTCGTTCTGCCCCATCACCGAGTGGGGCAGACATGTGGGGTTGGGAAGGGGGCAGGTTCAACTTCCCCTCCAATTCTCCAACCCAGGTATGGACTTCAGCGTCTTCCCTTGGTTCCCCAAGAACAGCCCGAAGTTCAGTTATTCCCATCTTTACTGGAAAAGTCAATCACCCAACATAAACTCTCAGCATCACTCCTGGCTAAACGTCCTTCCACTTGATTCCACTGAGTCCTGGGATATGTGGGCAAGACAGATGGTGATCACCCCAGTTTCACAGACAGGGGAAAGGGGCCCAGAGAGAGGAACGGTTCTGTGCCTGCCCGACAGCAGCAAACACAAATCTCATCTGGGGTCAAAAGCATTCTATTTGATCTCACCCAGCTCATTCGCATTAAACTTGACACAAGAATTTTGACTGAAACGGCCCTAAGGTGCTGCTTTTCTCTTTTGCCACGAGAGCTCCTGACATGCCCCGGCCTCACCAACCGCCTCACGAGCCCCAGCTCAGAGGCTCCATAGAACCCCTGGGGGCCCCCCAAGGTCACAGGGCCAGGCTCCCGCCTGCCAGGGCCAGCCCTCCCACCTTCCAGCTGATGACTCAACAGTGTTTACCTACCACAAACTGACCAGGTCTGAGCCCCAGGAATTTTAGGGTTAGGGTTAGGGTTAGTGTTAGGGATGTTCCCCTCACCTCCAGCCCTATCCCCCTTACAGGAGGCTGGGGAGCCCTATGGGGGAGGCACTGAGCACAGGAGAGGGTGTCTTCTAGGAGGTGAGGGAGGGTCTGATGGGGGAGAAGGAGGTGTCCCCTTCCCACCTGGAGCCTCTAAGTTCTGGGGCAGGAAGTACTAGCGCTGAAGTGTGGCTGTGACCCCCGCACGACAAAGGGCTGTTTGTTACGCAGCATAACTAGCAAAAGCTGACTGATACACACTGGCTTCAGGCTTTACGAAGCACATAAGAGTGATTCCACAATAACCAAAAACTTTAAAAATTGGTCACATTCTTTGATCCTGTAAATCCACACCTAGGAATCCATCCCACCCGCCGTTGCAGGAACCTCTGTGCTGGAAGCCCCAAGCTACCCGTGAGAAGCACAGCCACTCAGAGCACGTGGGGCTGGGGATGCCACATGCAGCAAGCTGGCCCACGGTCCCTGCTGAGCCCAGAAGGCGCCAGGAACAAGTGGCAGTGTCTTGGACCCTGGCGACCAGCCTGCCCACCAGCCAGACACCACCTACTGACCTCCGCCAACGCCACACAGGGCAAATGTGCCTGGTGAGTTCTGCCCAAATTCCAGATCCACAAAAATCATGAGACATAACATGGTGGGTGGTTGACGCTGCCAAGCGCTGGGGAATTTGGGAAGTGGTGAGAAAACACCGGAAGACACGGTTGTGAAGGACAGAGCCAGACTCACACCGTCAGTCTGAGCATGGACCCTTGCTCTATCCGTACGCTACTAATATTTCATTCCCAAATTTCATCAGCCCAAATCAGAGATCAGACGTGGATACTGGGAGAGGCCACGTGACCGGCTCAGGGTACCCCAGTGGGAGGGGCCCTGCTGGGCGACAGGTGCAGCCCGGACTTCAATCTCTGCTCTTTCTGCAGCCATCCACGGCTGCCTGAGAACATTTCTACGCTGGGTGATTTATCAGGGGGACGTGGTATCAAATGTGCTTTGAGTTTTATTCCAGGATTTACAGAGGAATCGGAAACACCTGGTCCACTTAAGCAACGATTAAAACTTC